GTAGAGTAGCTATTTAGTTGTTTATGCACAGCATTACCACTGTGGTCAGGAGCTTCAGAGCCTTTACCCACCATGCCCAACATGGCTTATCCCTCATTAGACCTTGTATTCTGCCTTAGTTCCAGCCAGCCTTGTTTTGAGAATACTGGTCCCTGGAACAGGACTCCAGCTCTCAGCTTTATGGCCCCGCCCTACAGTGGTGTTAGAAACGTTTGTCTAATGCCCCACTCAAAAGCACACAGAGGAGAGTGACAGTAGATAGACCATTTCCAGAAGGACGTATCGCGGTGCAAACAAAAGGGCACCCTGAATCGGCAACATCTTAACTGTTCTGCTCACCTACTACACTCTGTCTATGGAGGCAGGTTGTACCCACAGAGTGCTGGTTTCCAGGCTTGCAACCTTGCACCTGTTTCTCACATCCCATCCTGGGCAAGCCAGTGAAGGGCTATGCTGGGAACCTTGGAGAAAAGGTGGCAGAGAACCTGCAAGTGGTTCATGAACCTCAGTGAACACAGCAATGACTGAAAAGTGGAGGATCAGGCACTCTGTGATACATTGAGCATGTCTCCCATGATCTCTGGAATGGGAAAAATGTGGGGGGAAATTCCCACATTGCTGGGAATGATGTGTGTTATACAGGGTACTTACAGTGATTTATGGTATTATAGACGGCAGCAGCATTGCCTGCTAGCATGGTCTGCGATGACTGAAATATTCTGCCCTTGCTCTATCCATATGGTGGCCAGTCACTTCATGGGACTACTGAGCACACGTAAAGAAACTAATGTGACTGAAGACATGGATTTTTGTTTCATTTAATTGAAATATAAACAGCCACATGCGGCTACCATATTGGACACCATAGGCATGGACAGTCCTTGCTATGGATTGGAGGGGGATGGAGAACTAAAAGGGAAGCCCTAAAAGGGATTGCCAGTGTGGGCCTGGTTGTTGGTGTGATGGACCCAGGCAGAGCCAGCCTAGAGTTCGACTTTGCACAGGTCCTTTGTAAGATGTTGGTTGCCTTAGATTCCTGGTGGGAGGAAATAGCTGCATATTCCTGTGAGGATCAATTCATTCAAACTCACCGCCATTACGTCAATGGAGATTACGATACTGACCCTCTAGGACAGGGTAGAGCTGACCCTGTGGCTTTCTGAGACTCCGTATGGTAGCCGAAAGCTCCCTCTTTCAATTAGCAGTCCAACATGTAACCACTGTGCTACCATGGCACTGGGGAGACTGTATTTACAGAGGGACTGGCTATGAAGCCAGGTCCAGGCCTAGGGGGCCCCTGCAAAGAGTGCAAATCCCAAAGGGGACAGCAACAGAGACATTGGTGCTCTTGGGCCCGATGGAGTAGGGGACTGAACTCAAAGGAGGAAGTTTAGAGAATGTCTACTTTGGAAGAGTGGGGAACACTTCACAAGGGGAGCCTGGAACAAAAATTCCAACTTCACTCTGTTCTTGCTTTCTCACCGCCTGCTGTTCCCATTGATTAAGTCCAAAGGGCAAGCAGCAGTTAGTGCCCTGCTGATGTGGAGACTAGATCAGAGAGGGGCTCTACAGCAGGCAGCGTAGAATCAGTAGGTTCCATGTTCCCTCAGTACCCGGGGAGGGGGAGGTGCACACCCACCTGGGTTCAAGCTGCAGGCCTAGTAGGCTGACGTGGGACTCATCAGTTGTGGGGATTTTGTGCCTCAGAACTGATCGGAGTCAGGCTCTATTTAGGTCGGTGGTTCATGGTTCCATTTTCTCTGCCCCACTCTCATCCAGACTGCATTTAAAACAGGTGGTTGGCTTTTTGTTTTGTAACCTCTATTTCCTGTTGCTCTCAGTCTTCTGTTCTCTCCCTGACTCCTTTTGACTTCCTTGATGTTTTTCCACAATCACACTCACAGAGGTGTCACACTGCTCTGTGACCAACAGGTTAGCAGGGAGATCAAAAGCAAACACTTCCATTTAATCAGGAGAAACCATAAAGGTCTCTCTCTCTAAAAACAAAAACCAGCAAACAAATGAGATGTGAAGTAGTTTGAAGCATTTTGCTTTGAGTTATTGAGATGTTTTCTTGATATTAGCTGATTACATAAACATCTAAGCCTGTGCCCCTTCTGCCACAGGTTCATTGCAGAAGAATCTGCTGCTTCTGGCTCAAAGTGTGTGCTTACTGCCCACCCCACCTGGATCATTGACCCCATCGATGGGACCTGCAATTTTGTGCACAGGTAAGTGTGGTATACAACACCCCCACCCCGTCAGTGTTTAAAATGTCCTTTTCTCTAAGTGTTCTCTCTGCAAAAGCAGAATTGTTTTTGCCAGGAATATATATGCAAAAAGAATCCTGATACCACAATGGTTAAGTGCTGGCTGCTAAAATAGGTGACAGTTCAAAGCCACCAGTGACCCCTCTGGAGAAGAGACTTGGAGATCTGTTCCCTTAGAGGTTCTGAGTTAGGGAACCCCATGGGGCAGTTGATGACTCTGAGTTGGAATTGATTGGCACACAACAACAACAACATAGAAACAACTCTCTGTATAGGCATTCCATGGTCATTAAAAAGATAGTCCTGTGTCCTGTTTGTGAGGGGCTCAGAATATGTTAAAAATTACTACTTGCTTAAAAACTATTGTTTACATTTAAAATGCTGGGTAGGCCTTAAAGACTCTTTATTAAACCCACTGGAGGAAACACAAGATTGAAAAAATGAAACCAATGAGAGGGTAACCCCAGGGAAACTGGGCCATCAGACCGAGTTGCACTTTGGGAAAGAGGAACAAACCAAGATAGGATGGGAATTTTGCTTGGAAGCAGCTGGCCGCCCCTGACTGGTTCCCTGTCTGTTTGGGCAGGCCACAGCCAGAATGTATGTGGGGGTGGCTACAGGGCCCTAGGCGGAAGTGAGGCAAGGGCGTGCAGACCTGGGGGGCTGCCCTAGCTGTGAGGATATGAAAAGGATATGGTCTCAATATGTTCTCAATGGAGGGGGAGGCGTGTGCCAGACTTTAAAGCTCGAAGCAGAACCTAAACACCTAAACGCGCGTGTCCAGGGCACAGGTGTTTTCCACAGGGTGGCTCTCAGGTTGTAATGTGAGTGAGAATCCTACAGAGTGATGAAATGATCAAATACTATCATGAATGGAACATGGAAGCAACATTCTGTTGAAGACAGTTCCCGAAGTAGCTGCTGCCATACAACTGCAAAGACCTTCAAGCCAAATGCAGAAGGTGGTTCTTGCCTGAAAGGAGAGTATCGAAACCGTGTTTCCCCGTGTTTTATTAACAATGCAAAGGCATTTGCTATGTGGATCGTAACACATTATGGACGGCATTGCGAAAAGTGGGACTTCAAGAACATTTATGTGTGTGCATTCAGAGCCTTTACATAAAGCAGGAGGCAAGCACTCGAACAGAACAAGGGGATCCCCTTAGTGGCTGAACATCAGAAAAGATTTGCAGCAGGGCCAGATTCTTTTGCTCTGCATGGGTCCTTTGAATCGTTTGTGGGAACATGGAATTCAAAGAAAGCAATCTGAAATGCAAATCTTTATTTCTCAACATAAGTTCCATCAAGGTCAAGATATATTTTTAAGTGATGATACCAGCCACTTAGTCTATCCCTGAAGGACTGAGGGTCCTGAGGTAACCATGTCAGTCTTTTTCATGGTTAACTGAAGAAAGATCCATGCCTTTAAAGCAATTAAGATTCAGAAACGAAGGAGCCAAATCAGGTCTGTAAGTTGGATATCTTATGATTTCCTTTCAAAATACCTAGTAGAAAAGGGCTCTCTGGAGACTCTTTTTTTTTTTCTTGATAAAGCTTTTGCTACCTTTCTCAAAAACTCTCATTATAACAGATTTTATTATTCTTTGCCTCTAGTAAGTCAACAAGTAAAAGGCCTTGAGGAGACGCATCTCCCCCCACATGGTTGCCTTGACCTTGCTCTAGTCTACTCTGCTTTTGCTTTGACTGGCTACTGCCCACTTCTTCGTAGCCACTGCTTTGGTTGCACTCTGTCTTCAGGAGCATTCTGATAAGTTGTGTTTCATTGCCTGTCAAGATACTTTGAAGAAACGCTTTAGGATGTTCATACCACTTGCTTACAATTTCCTTGAAAGCTTTGCACATATCTGCTGCTGATCTAGGTGCAGTAGTTTCAGCATCAATTCAGCACAACATTTGCTCAACTTTAATTTTTTAGTCATAAAAATGTAAGCTGAACCGGTTGAAGGATCTGTGATGTTGACTATTGCTTCTGCTTGTAATCATCAGGGTGTTTTTTTTTTCAATTAAGACAAGAAAAAGATCACTTTTCCTTGAAAATTGATGTGGGTAGTATTCAACTGGAGGCTTCACCATCTTGTCCCATCTTGAAACAAGCTAGACATTTGTAAATTGCTGCTTTCTTTGGCGCATTGCCCCCTAAACTTTTTGTAAAGGATCACTGATTTCACCATTCTTCCACTCAAGCTTCACCATAAATTTGTTGCTTACTCTTACTTCAATTTTATCAGAAAGAGCTCTTTTCATACATATACCTTTTCTTTTTTAGTACCTCAAAGTAAATCTTGCCCTGACATGTTAAAACAGGGTAAAGTTTGTTTTGGTTTCAAAATTTACTGAATTCCATGCAGGAGTTTTTGCGTAATATCTATTTTCCGTTAACTTTTTGAAGACTCCTTGGACTTATTCAGTCTATATGCTGAGTAAATAATGCGAGAAACAGGGCTATATGAAGAAGAATGTGGCCTCAAGGTGAGAGGAAGGCTCATTAACTATGTGCAGTATGCCATTGCACAACCTTACCCCCTGAACGTGAACAAGACGTGAAGCATTTCTAATGATGACCAAAGACTGAAGTCTTCAGTACGGACAAAATCTGAACAGAAACAACATAAAAGCATCTGCAACTGGGCCAACGAATAACATCAAAATAAATGGCAAAGAGATCAACGTTGCGAAGGTTTCGGTCATCTTCCCTGTGCATCCGTAGTCCACACCCATAAAAGTAACAGCAGCAAACTACAGGTAACTCCGCCGAGAGAACCAGCTCTTTGACAAACCAGAGGTGTCACTCACTTTGAGGAGGATTATGGAATGCTTCATGGCATGGTGCTTAGGAGTTGGGCTGTCGTCCTCAAAGTGTGAAGTTTGAGACCACCAGGCACTCCACAGGAGAAAGACAGCGTTTTTTCTCTCCCCTAAAGAGACAGTCTCAGAAACCCACAGGGTCAGTTCTACTCTTTCCTATAGGGCAGGGGTGTCAAACTCAATTAAAACGCGGGCCATTTGGTGCCACAGGCAAAATTCACGCGGGCCAAAGCACATTTACAAACTTTGTTAAATTTATATTGTGAAGTGAGGATTCAGGAATATGGATAGGATAATTAAAACACTCTTTAATTGCTTTTATTTAAACATTATTTTATTTTATCTATTTATAAAATTCGAATTATTCTTTTTTACCCGAAACTTGCCAGCACTTTCCTCCTGCTAGTTTTCACTTACCTCTTATGTTGTGATCGGAAAATACAACAAAGTAATTAATAAAAAGCACAAATTGTTGGACAGCTGACAAACGTGATGCACATATGGCTTCCAAACGTCGCCGGAACTGAGTCAGCGCATTTATATACGTCCACAGGCCCCCGGAAAAGGCACTGGGCCACAAGTATACTCGTCTTCAGTAGTTCAAGGGTTAACGAGGGAATTGTGTGTACAGTATCGCCTCGATCTCCCCTAAGTGCTATTTTCTTTATAACAATTTTTTCTATCTTCATTTTATTTCAGAGCATCGTGGGCCACAAAAAATTACTGTGGGGGCCCGTGGGCCGCCACTTTGACACCCCGGCTATAGGGCCATCATAAGTTAGTGAGGGTTTTTTTTGGGTTGCATCTAACCCAAGGTCTCTTTGGTCACAATGCCTGCGAGAGCCGGACAATGAATAAGGAAGACTGAAGAGGCAGGGGTGTGTTGGAAACAGGGTGTTGGTGTGGAGTGCCCCGTTGGCTGTGTTTCAGCACACCTGAAACAGTTCTTTAGAAAGGAGGGCGACAACAGTTGTTTTGGCTTACTTTTGGATGTTATCCGAAAGAACCAATCCCTGGAGAAGGCCACCTTGCTTGGTAACGTAGCTCAGGGAACAAGAGGACTCTCGTCAGCAACGTGATGGGCTCGCTGGTTGCCACAAGGACTCTAACAGAGTACAGATCATGAGGCTGGTGCAGGACTAGGCAACAGTTGGTTCTGTTATGCATTGAGTCACGGTGAGTCAGACGTGACTCGAAGCCACCTGACGACAAAGTCATCCCTGAACAGCTTTTGCAGAATGGTCCTGACGTGGCAAGCCCGGGCAGGGACCTGAATGCATTTCTAACCAGTTAACATGTGACCTTTTGAGGTAACAGGATAGTGTCATTTGTTGATTGTTTTTCTCTTTAGGTGTTTTTCCCCAAATGGAAAATCTTTTCTTTTTGTTTCACTCATCCTTCCAGTGATAAGGGGACTGGGGCGGAGCTGTGCTTCGTGAGCAGTCACTCGCCCGACCATTTGAGGGTCTTTCAGGACCCTCTAGAGCCAAGGTGTCCTGGGATTTTATTCTCTGCAACCCAGCAGGGAATGTGGGGTCAGAGAAACAACTTGGAAGACGCAATTTTAAAAACAAGCTGTATTAGTGACTTTCATATTTCTAGAGCACGGGGCTTTCTACACCTGTACAGAGACACAGTGTTGGCACTCCCTGGGGCAGTTCTACACTGTCCTGTAGGGTCGTTGTGAGTCGGCATCGACTCATGGCAGTGGTTTTGTTTGTTTGGCTAGTTCCGGAACACTTGGAGGATTACCGCTACAGAAGTAAGCACTGGCTAAAGGTATCTGACAGCCCTTTTGTAACTGCAGCACAGATGTGAGCTACTCGATCATGTCCCCCAGTGCTGGGCCTAAAGCTGGTGGGAAATGTTCTCCTGACAGTGGGACTTAGAGGAAAGCACGTTACGGCCTACTTTCCTAAGGAGCCCGCAGGTAAGCAACCCAGCCTTGCAGGCTCCTGCCCACATCAGTTACCCCTCTGGTTTGCATAAGATTGAGTTCTTTTTTTCCTGTAAGGCAGCAGTATCCAACTCTCCCTTTTTCTGCCAGTTTTTGAATTCTGATGATCTTCACTTAAAGGAGAGAGATCATTTGAAGACACTGAGCAACCGTAACAAGTCTCAAAATTGCAAGATGACAACCATCTTCCCAGCTCTCCTGCTGTTGGCCGGGTAGAGCTCCAGTAGGAAACAGGGCCAGGAGAGGATGTTATTGTCATCGAAGGTAGGCCAGGGTCAGGCCTGTGGCACTGCTTCTCTGTCTTTCCTCATCCCCAGGATGGAGGTCCTCCCTTTCCTGGAGCTATCTGATATCAGCTCAACTAGGTCTTTGGATAACACTCTTAATTGGATGGGCGTGAGTGCATTACATCAGTTGTATTTGACGTTGCTTTCAAGTTAGCTATCTGACAAGCATTGTCAGCTACTCTTCTTGTGTTGCACACAGTTGTTAAATTGTGGAAGGTAGTTAAACACAATGAAAAGAAAGCCAAAGCCTCACTTTGTAGAAAGGGCCCTCTCTCCGTCAGCGACATGGCCACACAGGAACTGCTGAGTGCGTTAAGTTGGGCAAAATCATTTTTGTTTTTCAAGTGTCATCCCCCCTATTTTCCTTGCAGATTCCCAACCGTGGCTGTCAGCATCGGGTTTGCTGTGAACCAAGAGGTACTTGGCATCCACCCTACTTCCTTCTCACTCTCTGAGAGCCCATGACTGTGTGCTGTTTATGTCTCTGCTTTTTGCTTCCATCTCTGGGCTCCTGTTTTTCTCTCCTCACCATATGCAATAATCTAATTATGTGTTTTTCCAATCTTGAAAGATAAACTCAAGGAAGTAAACCAACCCAGGCAGATTTGGGTGTGGTTGGGTATTGCATTGAAGGTTTCTGTCGGAATCCTGCCTGCGTGGCACACGTTTGGTCTCCATAGGATCTCTGAGCTTGCCAGCCCAGTCACCAACAAAGCAGCAATGTGGTTATTTCAGGATTCTCCTAGGAGTCCTGGTGATGTAATGGCATCAGCAGGTCAAGCCCACTAGCCCCCTCAAAGGAGGACGATCAGAATGTCAGTTCCTGTAAGGATAAAATGCCCGGAAACCCAAAGGGGGCAATCTAGCACATCTTCAGGTCTCTGAGTCAGAGAGGTTTGGTTGGTTTGGTCCATGCCTTCTACTCCAACCATGTCAGAGGGTCAGCATAACAGACTGAGGATGACCGGCAAAGCCTTTCAAGTCAATTTAAACTATAGCCCTTAGACAAAGCTTTAGTGTCTTTGCACTTCTTGTGGTCTTATTACATAGGGCTAGATGCTCTGTGTTTTCAGCTTAATCCCTCAAATTAGCAAAAGGTTTCTAGCGTGAAAGCAGAAGTTTATGCTCATTGAAGAATGTTCAAGTTAAAAAAAAAAATCAGGAGTTTTAATGCTGTCATTTGAGAGGGACTGACCAGGATTGATTATGGGTGAAGTGTGTTTGTAGTCTTGGCAGGCTCCCAGTGACCTCTCTCCTCCCTGCCAGCCAAGCCTCTGTGTGCCTCCCTCCCTTCCATCTGCATACTCCACAAATGCAGAGGCCCCCATGTGGCTGCCTGGATCCACCACAGGCTCAAGCACCAATTCAACACTAAGGTGGATATGGATCTGAGAACTCCATTAAAGCTGAGTATGCGGGGAGAGGTACGGGTAAACATTTCCCGAAGGTAGTGGGTTATCAGTAAACCTTGACTGACCTACCCCTCTGGAAACCAGCCTTGCACTCCAGGCTCTGGACCCCGTCTGCCCCCAAGGGCAGGCAGGGCCTGCCTTCGCATTTGGCTGGGTGTGTCTCCTCGGTGTCCAACCCCAAAGTCGATCACACTGCTTGTTGTCCCATCTGCATGGTGAGCAGTGCATAGAGGACAGGAGCAAACGCTGGAGGAAGTGAGGGAGCACGATTGCATAGGGCACCTCATCGCCATTTCTCTTTTCCTACTGTGGGAGCTCCAGCCGGCCTGCTCTTCTCGCCAATCAGTGAGGCAGCTTCTAGCCACCGCGGGGATGAGCTTCTTTGGGAAATTGCACTCTTCCTGGGCTGTCCTTGGTGTCTGTGACTCTGTCAGTGGTGCAGGTGTGTTCGTAATTCATCATGCATCAGCCACTTTGAAGATTTCCTCTGCGGGACACAGTAGCCCTCCCTTCCCCACCTACACGCACGCATGCACACACACACACACACACACACACACACACAATAAGACTTCCTAAAGCATTCTTTTTTCCCATAACTGTTAGTTACAATTGCTTAGTTACTATATTAATGTCGATTTTACTTTATTGCTATTAAATATAGTTTTTTTTTATAAAAAGGAAGTTGTATTTTTTATCCAGGTCTAAGTGAATCTAGATAGTGATGGTTTAAAACTCCTTCTCAGAACGTACCGTCCAGTACTTAGCCACTGCAGTAGTTTTAACACCACTTACAGTAGCTTCGTCTTTGAATGTTGTGTCAAATAAGTGACTACACTTGTTTTGTGTCCTGCCCCTATCTTCACAGCTGGAATTTGGAGTGATCTACCACTGCACTGAGGAGCGGCTCTACACAGGCCAGCGTGGTCGGGGCGCTTTCTGTAATGGCCAGCGGCTCTGGGCCTCCAGAGAGACAGGTGGGCCTCTTGCCACTATCTCAGCCTACTTAGGGAAAATGTAAACGGAATATGCCCCGAAGTCAATGCTGCACCAGACAGCAGTAATGATCTCCTGCTGATGGTTTGGTCTTTTTTAAGGGACATTATAAGAAACCTTTTAAACAATTCCTTTTCTTTTTTTTTTTGATTAATCATTTTATTGGGGCTCATACAATTCATCACAATCCATACATACATCAATTGTGTAAAGCACACTTATACATTTTTTGCCCTCATCATTCTCAAAATTTGCTTTCCGCTTGGGTTCCTGGAATTAGCTCATTTTCCTTTTTCCCCTCCCCCTCCCTCCCCGCTCCCCCCACAATTCCTTTTCTTAATGTGTTCAAGAACATTAAGTAGATCCATTCTACTTTGAACTCCAATCTTTCATCTTTCAGGCTAAAGGAAACTCATTTGCAGCCATGGTTCGGTTTTAGCGGGCTTGGCAAATACATGGCCAGTAACAGAGGGACAGGCATGCTGGCTTCCATGCTCAAGTGGCTTCAGCCAGGCCCTGGTCCCCACCTGCAGTTCACTCTGGCCGCAGGAATAAGTCATGTGAGCAAATGGTGTTTTCACACATCTGAGAAGTGTCTTGGACATTTTGGTATTATTCATTCAAGCAAGGTCTCAGGGACCCCCAGAAGCTTCTATAAAGTTTCCCATGGCAACTAAGGTATCTAAGCTCCTTGTACCTGCCATCTCTCCAAGTGTCAATTTAGGGTTTCCCCCCATTCTTGCAGCTTTTCTACCCTACTGTTTAAATGACTGATATGCTACTGATATTTTATTGCATTGTGAGTCAGGTATAGTGGGGAACCCAAAATTGTAAGGCAGAGGAGAAGAGTCCCTGACCAGTAGCATAAGGAGTAGCAATACTCAGAGAAGTGAGGTCATATGAAAAAGAATGTGGCATAAGGATCAGAGGAAAGCATATTATAACCTGCGATACACAGATGGCTTGCTGAAAGTGAGGAGGACTTAATGTACCTGCTGATGGAAGTCAAGGATGGAATCTTTTTTGGACTATGGATTACAACTCAGTGAAAAGGAACCC